CGATCTAGACTGTAGACACAATGGGACTAAGTAGACAGATGAGAGATGATAGAGAAATATTTGGTAGGGGTATGAGATGAATTAGAAGAGAGGGAGGGTGAATATGGTGAAAATATAAAATGCTAAAAAGTTTCAAAAGTGTAGTTTTTCACCTATCAGACTGGCAAAAATAAAAGCATTTGTTTAAGAAAATCTCTTGCAGGGTAAGGGGGAAATGAGGCCTCCTTATATCTTGCTGTGGGTAGATGAGTTGGTACGACTTCTATGGAGAGCAATTTGATTCCGAAATGTAAAATGCAATTTTGTTCTGTGGATTTATTCTACAGAAGCACTCACTAGGGTGGAAAAGCCCTACATGTATAAGGACGCTCACTGCAGCATGTTTGTTAGAACAAAGGGCTAGAAATATCCTTAACGTCCAGAGAGAAGAATTTATGGTGTTTCCTCACAGTGGAATCTTGGCAGCTCTTTAGAAGAATGAGGCAGCTTTGGATATACTGACAAAGAACAATCTCTAAGATATTTTAAGTGAAAAAAGGGGTAGAAAATGTGTATAAATGCCTCCATTTGTATAAAAATACAAATAAGAAAATATATGTATATGTTCTATGAAAATATAAACAAGAGACTGGGTGTAGGGGTTGCCTCTGAGGAAATTGTGGGGCTGGGGACACTGCTGAAAGGAAGATGGTACACTGCATACCTCTGGAGTATTTTAAATTCTGAATTGCAAGCACGTATTAATTATTCGAGAAATGAGCGAATAAAATAACAACAGTGAGTGGGTGGGAGGAGGGGAGTGCTGCAAAGGAGCAATTCTTTTAAGAACTCTAGCATTGAGGGGAAGAAGAAAATGTCAGGAGCGTAGACCAAGGGAGTTGGAGGTCCAAGGAAGGGTCTCTATTGCTCAGGGACAGAAAGATGTTTGAAGGCTACATGGAAAGATGGGAAGATAGGGCTGGGAGTGTGGCTAAGTTGGTAGAGTGCTTGTCTAGCATGTGTGAAGCCCTGGGTTTGAGCCCCAGAACCACATAAGTTGGGCATGATAGTACACATCTTTAATCCCACTTGGAAGTTCGAGGCAGAAGGATTAGAAGTTCAAACTCTTCACCTGTACACAATGAGTTTGAGGGGAGCCTGGGTTATATAAGACTATTTTATAAAAAGTTGGGAGAGGCCAGGCATGGTGGTGCGCACCTTTGATCTAGCACTTGGGAGGCAGAGGCAGGTGAGCTCCAGGCCAGTTGGGTACACAGGGAGATCCTGTTTCAAAAAAAAATGGGAGGAGAAAATGGACTTACAGCAAGCAAGAAGAGGAATTTTGAAGAGAGGTTGGAGGGAGCAAGTGATGAATGGATGAGCTGGAGACACATGGACTTTGAGAGGGTGAGGAGTTGGGGTGGGGCGGGAAATGCAGAACCTTGCCTCATTGATATAATCTGAGCTCATACTTCACAGAGAGCAGCTGATTGGTGTGACAGGGTGGGGGCTGCACAGGGAGACCTGGTACCTTCTCTGAGCACCTTCTGCTAACCTGGCATATTTTCAGCCACTTTAAAGCCATGTGCTTATAGAATGATAGGATTGATGAATGACAGTAATGAAAACAAGGAATCAAGATGAGAGGCTCAAGGGGAACGAGGTCACAATTACTATCTGCTGCCCACCTGGCTATTGGACCCAACCAGAGGCTCATTATTAGAACCAAACTCTGTCTTCTGTTCAGGTGCTGGGTACTGAATGGGGCCATAGTCATGAACAAGTTCCTGCTATCAAGAAACTTACTGAATATTGGAAATGACAGTAACTAAGCAGTTGATCACAAAAGAATGAGGTCTAATCTGTATGGAGCATGGAGAATAGCACCTGAGGAAGTAGCACTGAAGCTGAGAACTGGTAGAGGATTTTCCCAGGTGGTGATGGTGGGGAATACGGAGGGACTGCGTATTCAAAGGCCACAAGGCTGCTAAAGAGTTTGGCATTTGGAAAAACTGGCTTGTAGTGAATAGAAGAAAAGATGGTCAGAGATGGGATTGCAGAGTGGCGTGACCTCCAACAGGGTCTTTCTAGATTAGGCTAGCATTGATTTAGAGAGATGGCTCAGTGGTTGAGAGAACTTGCTGCACAAGCATGAGGACTGGAATTGATCCCAGTACCCACATAAATTCCAAGTGTGCTCCCATGCATTCCTGTGATCCCAGCACCGAGAGACAGAGACAGGAGGATCACTGGGGCTTGCTGGCTAACAGCCTAGCTGAAAAACACCTGTTTCAAAGGTTAGATGGACAGTGATAGAGGATGACACCTCTCCTCTGACCAACCCGTGCATGTGTGCTTACACACACACACACATACACACACACACACACACACACACACACACACACACACACACACCAAATAAAATTAGACTAAAATAGATTAAAAAGGGTATTCCTCTCTTGAAACCTCTCCCATTCTTGGGATTTCTTTCTCACATTTCCTTAATAAATCTGTTCTGCCCCCAAAGGGGGGCGGATTGAGATGACTCAGTTGATAAAGCATTTGCAGTGCAAGTTTAAAGACTTGAGGCTGATCCCCAGGACCTGTGTAAAAGAGGACAGAGAGAACTGCCTCCCAAAAGTTGTCTTCTAACTTCCACATGTTTGCCATAGCATGTGAAGGGCAGCACTCATACACATCCATCATACACCTCCCCACCAATCATTCAATCAATCAATCAATCAATCAATCAATCAATCAATCAGTCAGTCAATCAATCAATCAATCAAGGCATTTTTAAAGATTTTAGAAAAATTTTCTCAGCATTGAGAAACCATTAAGGGGTTCAAATGATGGAATGGTACAATCAAGGTTGTATTAAAGAGAAAACCACCTGTGCTGGTTAGTTTTCCTCAACTTTAGGAAGAGGGAACCTAATCAAGGGATTTCCTCCATCAGATTGGTCTGTGGGGCATTTTGGGGTGGGGGTTGCCAGGTGCAAGGGTCCAACCCACTGTGTATGGTGCCATCCCTGGGCAAGTTGGCCTGGGCTGTATAAGAGGGGTAACTGAACTAGCCCAGGGTAACAAGCCAGTAAGCAGTCTTACTCCATGGTCTGTATTTCAGTCCCTGCCATGAGTTCCTGCCCTGGCTTCCCTCCATGATGAACTATAATCTACATGGTGAAATAAACCCTTTCCTCCCCAAGTTGCTTTTGGTCAATGTTTATCACAGCAATAGAAGATGATATAGAATACCATCACTTTGACCACTGTGGTATAGAATTACCAAAGTGGTGGGGGCAAGAGTGAAAGGGAAGATTTAAGAAGAGACTTACTTTTATTTTTAATTATGTGTTTTAATTGTGTATCTGTGGGTGGGTATGTGCACATGAGTGCAGGTGCCTGAGGAGGCCAGAGGTATTAGATCTCTCTGGAGGCTACAGGTGGTTGTGACGTGGGTGCTGGGAATCAAACTTACATCCTCTGGAAGAGTATTGTGTACTCCTTTTTTAATCTTTAAATTTTTCTTCTTTTTTTAAATCTTTAAAAAATTTTAAATTTGTTTATTTGTATTTTTATGTGTATGTGTTTTGCCTGAATGTAAGTGCATCCATGTATGCAACACCTGAAGAGGCCAGAAGAGTGTGTCAGATCCCTGGAGTTGGAGTTATGGATGGTTGTCAGCTATCATGTGGGTTCTAGAAACTGAATGGAAGTCCTCTACAAGAACAGTGTTTTTAACTGCTGAGCCATCTCTCCAGCCTGCAGTATGCATTTTTAACCACTGAACCATTTCTCCAGCTCTGAAAGGAAGTTTTAGGAGGCTCTTGCAGTGATCCAGGTGGAAGATGATGGTAGTCAAAATTCAATTGTAAATGATGAAGGTGGGATGGAATGAATAGATTTGAGAGCAGTCCTGGAGGTAGACACAAGCTTCTCTGGAGGTCGAGGTGAGGGAGAGATAAATCATAATGAATTGTCCCTCAACATTAAGCAAAGACAGTTGGGTAGAGGTAGTGAGCATTGGCTCCATATGGGACATACAGCAAAAGAGATGAAATTTTAAATAGTTAAGAATTGGCCGAAAAGAGCTAAGATAAAAGTTTTCATGTGGAAAAAAGAAAGTTTAAATGGTTGCATCTTGTGGCATCAGTAAAGAAGCAGAGCAGTGTGTTTGCTGCAATGGAGAGGTTGGGGATTGATGGCGGCTGGTGGAGTGTGGGAAAGTTGGTAACAGTCATATGAAGGCAACAGTGACTGGGATTGGAGACCAATCACTTTATCAGCACTGAACAAGCACTGATACACTGGGTGATGTTAGGGACAACGGATTATCAAATGAAGTATTGATTAGGGTGGAAAATCAGAGTCTTGGTGGTTCTAGGATGGGGTGGGGAAGGGAGGTTTATGAAGTGAATTGGGGCTAGTGAACTAAAGTAGGTAAGTACCAGCATCATGACAGTGGTCTGATGAGACAAGAGGGGCAAAAATACAAAGATTATAATCAGAGAAGAACATGCTAGGTAAGATGTAGTTACTGATACAATGACATGAATGTTATAGGAGTAACAAACTGATTTTTTTTTTTTTTGACCCATGTCCCAGCGTTTGAGGACAGAACCAGCAGACAGGAAACTACTGGAGCTGAAGACATGACGTTGGGATGGCTGTAGCCCGTTCCCTCTGCCGCCACTCATAACAGGGAGTGGGACCACATCCCTTATCCCCACCAAGTAAAGGAGGGCCAACTGATTTTTTAAATTGGATTTTCTGTACAAGAATGAATTCATGTCTGGTACTATAAACCTGGTCAAAAACCCATGACTGGGGATATCGTAGGCCCTAGAGGGGAACACAGTACTGTTGTTTTGCTAAATGGACATGTTTTTAAACTGCCTTCTAAATATTTATGTTTATGCCCATAAGTTAGAACTTAACTTTGTCAGAGAAGCAATGGGCAGCAGTCAATAGAGAGACTCATAACTCATCAAAATGCTAAGAATGAGTGACTATTGAATGCTTATCCTTAAATGAAACATTTATGTCAACTCTCCAAGGCTCAGGGAACATCATAGAAGAATGGGTGGAAAGAATGTGAGAGTCAGAGGATAGGGAGGAGTGCTGTAAAATACTGTCTTCTGGGAATGATATGGCAGTTGCACGCATGGTTACCTGCACAAGACCTGCACAAGATCAAGCCAGTCATTATTTCAGCATAGATGGGCAAGGGGCTCATGAGGCTCCACTCCTACCACAGGAGATGCTGGCAACTGATGGCTACCTAGGGAGAGGGAGTTATTTTTCATTAAGGGTGTGGCCACCAGTAGGTTGCCCATGTGGGTGGGTGGCCCCTGTGTACATGCACAGCAGCACTAATTGAACTCTGTGGGTCGTACAAAGAAGATAATATGAAGGTAGGAGGGAGTATGTTGGAGGTGTCTGAAGGGGGGAAAAAGGATGTTGGGAGTGGATACAATAAAAATAAATGGTATACATGTATGACATTTTCAAAGAATAAATTTAAAATAGTCTAAAAAATCAGAGAAGAATTTGAGGGGAGTTTTTTGCTTGTTTTAAAAATTTTATTTTTGAGACAGGGCCAGGCTGACCTGAAACTCTCTATATAGCCCAGGTAGACCTCAAACTCAGGGCAACCCTCCTGTCTTTGCCTCCCAAGTGTTGGAATTATAAGTGTGGACCACTACACCCAGCAGCAGAATTTAAATGTCAACTGGTTTCACAGAAATGTGATCTAAAGTGTAGACTTCCCAGTGAAGGATTCTAGAGACAGCCACAGTTCCAGGAGTTGGGAGTTCTGAGGTCAGGGCATCAGAATTGGTATGGATTTGTTGACTTAGTTGATGTGTGGTACTTAAAAAAAAAAAAAAAAAAAAAAAAAAAAAACTTAAACCAGTTAACTCAAAGACAACAGAGTTTGAAAGATTTAAAAATTATGCTTGTGCTGGGCATGGTGGCACATGCCTTTAATCCCAGCACTTGTGAGGCAGAGGCAGGTGGATCTCTGTGAGTTCAAGCCCGGCCTGGTCTACACAACAAGTTCCAGGCCAGCTGGGGCTACAGGGAGGCCCTGTCTCAAAAAGACCACCCCCCAAAAATTATGCTTGTGTGTGTGTGTGTGTGTGTGTGTGTGTGTGTGTGCGCACGCACTTGTGTGCCCATAGGCCAGAAGAGGGCGTTCGATCCTTTGGCAGTGAGCTGCTTGACAAGGGTGCTGAGAGTTGAATTCAAGAAGAGCAGCAAGTGCTCTTAACAGCTGAGCCATCTCTACAGGCCCAAGAGTTTAAAAATATTTTTAATATAATTTTTAAAAATTAATTTACCAAGTAACAGTTTTCCACATGGCATTTTCATACATATTTCATTTTAGTTGCTTCTCCTCTCCCCTGATGCTCCCTCATCTGCCTGCCCCCTTTTTTCCCTCTGTACCCTTTCATCCCCAGTATTTCCCTTCAACTCTGTTCTATTAAAAGGTAATAGAATATTATTGCTCATTGTCCTGGAGGCTGTGAAGTCCAAGATCAGGGCACCAATAAGCTCTGCATCTGGTGAGAGATCACCTTATACTTTACAAATGATGCTGTGTGTGTGTGTGTGTGTGTGTGTGTGTGTGTGTGTGTGTGTATGTATGTAAGTGCATGTGCATGTGTGTTTGGAGATGAAATGTTGATGTTGGGTGTCCTCCTTCATAGCTCTCTACCTTATATAGTGAGGCAGGGTCTCTTGCTGAATCTGGAGCTTGCTGATTTGGCTAGTCTAGCTAGCAAGGTTACTCTGGGGATTCCCTGTCTCTGCTTCCCAAGGGTTGGGATTAAAGGCAGGCGATCACACTAGCCTGGTGTTTAGGGGGTGCTGGGCCTCTGAACTCTGGCCCCCATGCTTCCATAGCAAGCACTTTATCAACTCTGTGTCCTGACATGGTGGAAGGAGCAAGCAAGCTCCCCTGGCCTCTTTTGTAAGGCACTTACCCTATTAACCATTTCCCAAAGGCCACCTGTCAATATCATTACATTTATGATCACTTTCAACACATAACTGGTGGTGGTGGGATGGGGTAGACAAACCCATTCACACAATAGTGGTTGTGAATAACGGATATGAAGTGGTATGACAGGGATATGAAGGAAAGAAAAACTGTGGGGTTTCAGAAATTAAGAAGAGCTGGAGAATGCTCTACTAGAACCCTCTGGCGAGAGAGAGAGAGAGAGAGAGAGAGAGAGAGAGAGAGAGAGAGAGAGAGAGAGAGAGAGAGAGAGAGAGAGAGAGAGAGAGAGAGAGAGATCGTAGTGTGAATGGACACATGAACTTTGGAAGAAAACATTCTGCTGAGAGGATGGCAGAACAGTGTCTTAGAGCGACCAGTGAAGAACCAGACAGCCTCCTGTTTCTGGGTATCCTCACAGATCTTCCCTCTTTCAGGAGAGAGCTGGGGTGCTCTAGATAGTGGTACTGTTATTGTTTATACATGGTTTCTATCACTACTGCTTGCTGTATATGCCAGCCAGCATTTGCATGATGAGAAGAGGCACAGCCTAAGGACAAACATTAAAGATGAAGGACAGCTTTTGAGGAATTACACAATGTTACTAACATATAATTTCTGTACTCTGGCAACTCTAAAATGTAATTTTTTTTTGGAGACACAGTCTCATGTATCCCAGACTCACTATGTGGCTAAGGGTGACCTTGAGTTTTTAATCCTCCTGCCTCTACCTCCTGAATGTTGGGATTACAATTGTGTGCCACGAAATCCAGTTTATGCAGTGCTAGGGATTGAACCCAGGGCTTCATGCATGCTAAGTAAGCACTCTGCCAACTGAGTTACATCCCCAGCCTACTTCTCAAATTTTCTGATGAGGACACTGATGTCCATAACCTATGGGGACTTGGAGGGCACTGACATACAGTTGTCACAGGCTATTAACTTTCCAGAATCTCTACCTTCCTCCTCTCATTAACTGGTTCATGGGTTCTATTTGCCTTCTCTTTCCTACTTCCTGTTGCCCAGCCAGTTTGAAGTCAGCACAGGGAGCATTTTCACATTTACAAAATGAAAAATACTGCACTGATGGTACTTATACCCCCCGAAAAATGTCTTTTGGTGACTCTCTTGGCTTATAGGCTCCATTTCACGCATTTACTCTCAAAACCTCACAGCCTGTCTGGGCTATAGAGTGAGTTCCAGGCCAATCTGGGCTACTTAGCAAGACCTTATCTCAAAATGAAAAATAAGAAAGGGGTGAGGATAGAGTCAATGGTAAAAGGCTTACCTCACATGCACAGGGTCCTATGTTCAATCCCAGTATGCAAAGAAAACAAAACAAACAACAAACCCCTCTTCAAATCTCTCTCCATGGGGCTTATGTGATGGTGAAGTCAGGGATGACACACAGGCCTTCAGTCTGCCTGCCTTTCTGCAGCCTTTGCACTGTAGTGACATCAACTTTTCCAAAGTGCAATTCACAGCCCCCATACTTCCTAAGCCTCAGTTTCTAGGACTACTGGAGCAAAGTTCAAACCTCAAATCCATACAAGGTTGTGGCCACTTTCGTGGTTGCCTCTTTGCCTGTTTATTTGTCTGTTTCCCTGAACATACTGTCACTCCAGTTTCCGGGAGCTCAGGATTATGCCTTATTCACTGTTGTTCATGGGGGTAGGTGCATAGCAGATTAAGCAATACAAAGAAAGGCAGGGCTTGGGCTATTCAAGCATGCACCCAGCCACAGAACAACAAACCTTGTGGAAAATCTCACGCTCCTTGTTTGTCATTATTGTAGAATTTTGAGTGTCTGTCACCTTATTATACGAACTGCTTAAGTCATCAGTGGCTATCATTTTTAGTAAAAGATCAGAACTCTGAGTTGGATAGATTTTTGTTTTACTTCAAGATAGAAGGGAAACCTTTGGGATATTTCAACAATTTTAGAAGATAATGGCATAGAAAATAAAATGTTAAAACAAGCCCAGAAAAAAATTCAGAACCTGTGTTGACAGATCTCCATGACTATAGAACAGTTGGCGCTTAAACCGTATGACCTCGTGTTGTGGTTCTCTTGTGAATTTCTGATCTTAAAACAGTAAGCTCCTAGCTTGCTGAGGCTGGTCTCAGACCTCTTTGCACCCTTCTCTTGTTTAACATGGTGTGTTAAGCACACTAGGCCATTGGCAAATGTTTATTGAGTGCTGAACAGGGACTAAATCAGCTACCTCCTCTGTGTTGTGGATGATTACCCAGGGGAATAGAGACTGAATATTCAGGAGATTCTAGACACTGTTCACAACAGAGCAATTACCACCTGAGCCCATTCACTGGGATTTGCCCTGGGTTTCCCCAGAGAACAGCACATCCAATTAATAGTTTATTCAAAATGATTCTAACTTGCATGTGTCTTGCCTTAGACTCACTAAGGACAATGGTCCAAGCTGATAATTTGCAAATCCCATCTGCCTGGACCTTAGGGTGTTCTCCAACTATACCTACCTGGCTATCTTTTTCTGTTAATTGTGGGAAACTCCTTCTAAGAATAGGGACAGTGCAACTAGATAGGGGAAGTCAACTGAATTCTCCTTGCTGAAAGTAATAAAGATAGCAATGGTGAGGAAGGAGGACAGGGAGCATTCTGAGGGGTCATTAGGTCTGCCTTGTCTTTATCATTGCTGAATAGCTATTGAGTGTCAACCCGCAGTGGGCACCATAAGTGGGTAGCATCCCTGTGCAGTGAGTT